TGGGAAAGCAGCTGTTGTAACCCACTATGTTGGGCCCAAACCAGAGGAAAAGGGAAATTCAAACAAAAAAAATTTAAATAAAATTTAAAAAATTAAAAACAGGCTGAAAGAATTTCCTCTGTTCTTTTAAAAATCCTCAGTTATCTGAGGATAACAAATAGTTTGAATTACTATATTTTTGGAGAGTTTTCTTCTATCAAACTGTAAGGAACATTGACTTAAATATTTGTCTAGTGCTTGGGAAAGGCCTGCACAGTCAGATCTGACAGATTTTCTGTGGAACACTCACCTCTTGACACATTTTACCCCTGAAATCTGCTATGATCACATGCCCTGGTTACAGAACTACACAATACCTACCACTCCTGAGGCTCAGAAAGGGATCAGAGCCAGCTTTTAATTGCTGCAAATTTAAAAATAATTAAAGAGAGTATCTGCCTCGGCATTTTTTAATGTACTCACCCAGGAAAGGAACGTGACTGGTCCCAAAAAAATAGGTCCTTGAACAAGCCAGAGGTCCCTTGGGAGACACACACTGCACTACCTGGTAGTCAGTATTAATGAGACACAAAGAGACATTAGTAAAGCAAATTGGTGCAAGAATGGCCAATAAACTAAGATCCCCTTAAGTCCTCTAAGCACTGACAAACTACAGGAAGTTTACGACACACACGGAACTGGAGGTGGAAAAAGCAAACTTACGTTTTCAAAGGTCTAGTTCACTTTGGACTCGACCTGAATGGCTGAAAGACTTTGGGAAGGAGATGAGCTCTGACTTGGGTTCTCAATTTCCTATGCCAACTGCTCTTTTCATGGAGAGGAAAGTGGGTCAGGTTCCCATAACTATGCTGGTCTTATTTACTATTTTCATGACACCCTATTACAACAGTCTCACCTGTACCTGTAAATAAACCACCTTTTTTAAGAACAGCATCAGAATCTGAGGAGAACAGATGGAGCAAGTACATGAGAATAAAACTGTACTCGCACTCGGAAAGGCAGCAAATGGTCTCAATGTTATCAGGGGAAGAAAAGACAAAAGTTGAAAGTGTTTTCAGAGACAGAGTGTGTTAGAGCAGCAGATGGAGGATGAGGTTTCAGCAGGATGCTACAAAACAATCCTTTCTCAGGCTGTTGATGTGTCCAGAACACCCACGTTCATCCATTCCCTGAGGACAGTGCACATGGAATGTTGTCACGGACTCATCCCCTCACTCATCCGTCCACTCCACGATGACCTGGACTCAACCACATCCACCTGGACTCGCACCACTGTCGGACACTCCCGGAGCCCCTGGAGGGAGCAGGGAGGTGTCCACACTCTACCTCTCCTCCTTCGCTGCCCGTTGCCTTCTGGAGCCAGGAGGCCCCTCCAGCCAGAGGATCCCAACTGCCGGGGGGGGCTCCCCCGGTCACGGCCCCTGCGCCGCCTTCGACCTCATCAAATGTTTACCAACTAAGCTTTTACTTGAAAATGGAAACAAGTTAATCTTTACAACTTCATGGCAACATTCTTGGAACACCACAGATTCATTGGAACATTCTTGGGACACCACAGCGAGTTTCGGTTTCATCGACACTCGCTGGGTTTTGTTTGGTCGACGCAAGCTGGAATTTGGATACACATAAAAATCTCCTGTCTGTTCACAAAATTCTGTTCTAATGTCAAAAAAAAAAGGTGTCTTTTCACTTCTTTCTTAAGGAATCTGATTAAAATCATATCTGTGTGTCAGGATTAAACACATCATAGAAGGGTTTCACTTCATGAGGACAAACGTCCTCACAAACAGCATTTCCCTCTCCCCCACCCCACAGACAACTGTTTAAAAAGTTGTATTTTTACAGGAAATAAATCATTCACCAGTTCCTGATTAAGCATCCAGTCTTATAACTTAGAAGAAGAAAGAAAAAGAAAATTTCTTCCTTAAACTAATTGCTAAACTAACGTGTTTTTACGTTAAGAAGAATCAGGTGTTTAACTCATGGAAGGTAAGTACAAAAAACACACAAAGAAAAAGAGAAAATCTGCCAAAAAAAAAGCTCCAAAATCTCAGGTAACTACTCCAAAGCCTTACCATGTGCTTGGCAGTGCTCCCACCAAGGCCAGTGTTTCGAACAAGGTGTCCTTCTGATGGAAAATTAAAGTTACCAGAGTTCAGGTTCTCCTTGGTGGAGTGGCTGCCAAACAGGACGAAGGGCTGCCGGCTGGGGCTGGGGAGGAAACAGGGAATCACCACCCAAACACTTGGCAGGGAACTTAAAAACCAATGAAATTAAAGCTTTCAAGCCTGAGGGACCAAGTAGTGA